AATGTATTACTTGTTTTATCATTTGTGTGTCTGCTGCCCTGGGCTCCTTTGGAACATAGGGTGGAATTTCTATTATTATTATTATTATTATTACTACTACTACTACTACTACTACTACTACTATTATTTGACCCCCATATGAAAGCTGATGGCAAACAGTCTTTGGCAATGCTGTTTTTCTATTACACTTGAACGCTTTGGTTTTCCCAAGGGACAGGAAATGGGTGTGCTGTATTTCTTTAACAATATATGCCACTTGAGAAAGAATAAAAGTTAGTAATTGTTCCCACGGTGATACTCCTCTTTTAAAACTTAATTAAAACCCTTTAGTCGGCTTGCCCACCCCCGCCTCCTTCGTCTCTCTCCTCCCATCTCTGCTCTGCTCGCCGTAAGAACATGTTCCTTTCAGAGTGGGAAGATTAAATACACTTTCATGTTATCCAGAACAAATTAAAAATTAAACAAAGTCATTTAGCTGCTTTTGAAATACGCCTTTTGTGTTTCCACACTTTCTGTTGCCTGTCATTTGAATTGGAAAGCAAACAGATGTCCCGGCGTGCTTGAAGGCACAATCGGGCGGAGATACTGTTAAAAATAGCTTCAAATAAATCCTCAAATCTAAACAATAATGTTACAGGTAGCAACAAGGAAGGGAAGAACAATCTGGCATCCGGCTTCCCTATCCCAATCCTGTGTGATATTGTTGTGCAAAGCTGGAGATGAGAAAGAGGTTTGCACAACAGTTTATCTCAAGTTCATTTCAAAATCCTGTCATTTTGCCTGTTGATGCAACTTTGAACCAGAGAGAGAGAGGGAGATGAAGATAAGAGTATCACAACTGACATAAACAGAACTGGGGAGGGGTTGGAGGAGTCTTTGGATAACGTGGCTGTGAAAGACAATGCAAACATGATAGCTTTACTCTTGCTACCTGGTAGAAATTCTCCCAGATTTGCCCGTTCTTTCAGTGCTTGGCAGCACAACCCTATCTATGTGTGTTTACTCAGAAATCGTTTCCAATCAAGTAGAACGCCATACCAATTCAACATAAAGTTCCATATAATAAAAATGTAAGACCGTCATCACGCAGCCCACACTGGAGCATTTGCAGTGCTTTTTTCTGTGGGTACTCAAGGGTACACAGTACTGGCACCTCCCCCCACCCACACACACCAATGTTAAGTTGTTACTGTAACAACTTCATGGTAAATACCAGTACCTTGTTGTTGTTGTTGTTGTTGTTGTTGTTGTTGTTGTTGTACCACATCAGGATCCTGGATTTGCATGAGGTCTAGGCGGGATAGGGGACCAAGTGAAGACACGTTCCACAAGAGCAGTGGGCATGGCATGGGATCACGAAGGGAGGGACACTGAGAGGGGGAAAGTGGCTGATTAAAACAATGGCAGAAGTTTGAGCAAAGTACCTCCTTTATTTACTGCACAAAGTGTGGTTAGGATTGCATTTGCAGAGTGGAGAAGCTGCCACAGGCACAACTCAGAGAAACTGCAACCAAGTAAGTAATGGATGCAGTGGAAAGCTTTTGTCAAGCCTGCTTTCAGCAGAGGAGAGCCCAGGGAAGAGACCCTCTGAGCACCAGAGAAGGTTTCTATGGATGCATGTGTGACCGTGGGCAGCACACTGGCAACCCCTGTTTCAGGGTCTGGGTCCGGATAGTTTGCCTCAATCCAGACTCTACCTTTCACCCTGTTTCAAGGACCAGTCATGTAATAGAAGCAGAAACCATGGTACTCATTATTGGCCTGGGGAGAGAAGATCCAGTGTCAAGTCCAGGATTTTGGGAGAAGGGCCTTGGGCAAGGCACTAGAAACCAGAAGGAGCCAGTGTAGTGCCTATCAAATATTGTTTGATACCAACTCCCATCAGCTCTAGGTAGTTTGGCCAACAGTTGGGTTTATAGGAGTTTGAGTCTTAGGTGTCATGCCTAGCCCTGGTGCCAGACACTGAGTCCTTGGAGGATGAACCAGACACGACACAGGTCATGAAACTTGAGGAGCAGGCATTGGCGTCCTGGAACCAACGGCGAGGATCCCCTTGAGGGACCTTCCCACTGAGTGGAGGGAGAGTTTTGCTAAAGAACCCTTGGAGCTATCTGAGGAAGGAGTGGAGCCACCCCTCAGTCCAAAAGGTCCTGGCCAGAGAGAGATAGCATAACACACATCTATGGACCTAGAGTCATTGCACAGCTAATACGTACAGGGTCTACTTGTGAATAGGGGTGGCACTGTGGCGTTAAACCACAAAGCCTAGGACTTGCCGATCAGAAGGTCGGCAGTTCAAATCCCCACGCCGGGGTGAGCTCCCGTTTCTCGGTCCCTGCTCCTGCCAACCTAGCAGTCGAAAGCACGTCAAAGTGCAAGTAGATAAATAGGTACCACTCCAGCAGGAAGGTAAACAGCATTTCCATGTGCTGCTCTGGTTCGCCAGAAGTGACTTAGTCATGCTGGCCACATGACCCGGAAGCTGTATGCTGGCTCCCTCGGCCAATAAAGCGAGATGAGTGCCGCAACCCCAGAGTCGGTCACGACTGGACCTAATGGTAAGGGGTCCCTTTACCTTTTACCTACTTGTGAATAAACAATATCTAGAACTTCTTTGCTCTCCACCTCCTCTCACTTGGCAGAAATACTGGCTCAGGGCTTTCAAAGCATATCTTAAGGTTCAAGGAGGCGTATACAGGCGTATCCAGGTAACCTACTTCCAAGGCATTCAGCCCTGCCTCAAACTGAGCTTACACATGCGATGAGAAAAACGAAGCAGAGGAGGGGGAATTAAATTAATCTCCTGGGTTTCTCCGCCCTCCCTCTCAGCAGTTTCTCCTCATCCTGTCAGGGCCCCCCACAACCACCCCCTCCAGCATGCTCACCAGGAGCCCAAAATCCCAGCAGGAGAAATGGAGTCATTGGGCATTAGCTAGCAGCTCTAAACTCATAAAGGGTGGGCGGTAAATAGATTTGATTAATATTTATCATTTGTGTGTTATAAATAAATGATGCTAGTAATGTGAAGCACAGTTCACTCCCTTAAGCCTTGGATCTCAGAGATTCAGTATGTTTAGAGGAGCTGAGGAAGAGAAAAAGAAAGAGAGAATTTTTTGTTAATTCTCTGGTGCCTTATTTGGCCGCTGCTCTGCTAGGTTGTTCATTATGCTGTTGGATTGTTGATTATGTTGTTGTGTATTTCACCACCAACACCCTTCCTGACCCCCTAACTTCTTCTAAGTAGCCACTTCAGTCTTCTGATGAAGTTCCCAGGGGAAAAAAGACAAAATCATGTTCTGTTTCCAAGCTGCATTCGTATAAAGAAAGATGCATGCCAGCAGGAATGTCCAGCCAGGGACATTATGGGTTTTTCAGGCAAGCGCAGGCACTCAAGAAGGCTGCAGAGTGCAGGCTACAGGTTGTATCTAAGTTATTCATTTAGCAGTGCCTTTTTTGCATTGGTGGAAGACTTTTGCTCAGTGGGAACCACAAGTACATTACCAAAGATGATGTGGGATAACCAGCCTCATATAACCAACATGCTTCAGTCCAACTAATGCATGAAGGGGTTAAGACCATTGAGTAAACTGCCCTGCCAGGTTCACCTCGCCTTGGGAGGAATTAGGTAATCAGGCCTATTATTCCCTCCCAGTCTACCTGAGAAGCTCAGTGTGTGAGGAGGTCTGAACTGGCTGCTTCAAGCCCAGACCGCATGGCTCTAACAAGCCACTCTTGAGTTCCTATACCAATTATTTAGATGCTTTCAGCACATTGCAACTAAGCCAAGTTTTACCGCCTGTGCAACTTTTATGACTGATGTATGGGAAAGCACATAAACCATTGAATAGTTTGTAAGTAAACCATTTTTAGCTTACCAAACATGTCATTTCCCCCATATACTCTGTAGGAGGGAAGTTATTTTAAAGTTCTAACAGCCTATATTTCCATGTTTTACTTGGCATCCAGGAATTCTCCTTTATACAGCTCTTTTTTCCTTGCCGCCAACAGATGGAAGTGCAATGGATTGCATATCAATAATCAGCTGTTGCAGCTGGAAGCCACTGGAGCCCAGGCCAGGGAGCAGACAAACCACCAGCAGCTCCTGACAAAACCACTGATGGCCTGAGATAACTGTTGAGGCAACTTCTCCCCTACCTTCCCTGGGGCTGCTGGAGAACTGCATGCCTTTTGTTTCTCCAAACACCACTCTACAGTGTTGTGTAAATTTATCAGTCAAAGCCAAGTACCCTATCATACCACTTGTGGATAGTGCATCCTTCTGCATCTTTCCAATGTAACCCCAGCTCCATGTGTGCTGCCTCAAGGAGGTGGTTTATCAGATTCTTGCAAGGGAGATGCTTGTTGTGCCTTCTAAATAAGGAGAGCAGAGCACTTTTGTCATGTGGAGTAGAGAAGCATCAGTAACTATTTAAAAAAATGTGAAAATGCCATAGCTCACCATCGCCATCTAGTGCCACATTTGTATAATACACTTTACAACATTCTTAAAACGTTTTATTTGCAGCTGTATAGCTGAGTCCCAGGGATCCTCTTTAAACTTGGTTCAGTTTCTGGGTTTTATCTGTTGACTTGAGACCAACAGCCAAACTGTTGTCTGCGGGTCTTTAGCTAGCTAAATTTGCTTATCTTCTCTTTGCTGAAGTGCATGATATATTTGACTTCTTTTTTTCCCCACTGCTGCCCTCTTCTTCTTATGAAGCCAAGATAATAGCATATTCCCACTGATTAAACTGACATGGATGTCAGGTATGAAAGAGCTGGTTCATCAGATAGCAGCCAGACAGGTGTTTCAAGGATTTCCTATATAAATAATTCAATAGAAGGATTAGTATAAATCCATAATAAGAACATCGCTTGGTGAACCGTAGTTATGGGGATGAGTGTATGAAAGAGAGAAAGGGGGGAAACCTTCTTTTCACTGATATAACTTTGGTTTCTAGTGATAATAAAAAGCGGCCCCTGGGTGGGTGCATTTGGGGCGCTCCATGGCTCAGTGGTGGGACATCTGCCTTGCATGCAGAAGGTCCCAGGTTCAATCACAGCTCAGGTGGGGCTGGGCGAGAACCCTGTCCAAAACCCCAGAAATCTGCTGCCAGTCAGTGTAGACAATACTGAGCGAATTGGTGTGAAGCAGCTTCGTTGAATTGCAGAGTTGGAAGGGACCCCAGGGGTCATCTAGTCCAAACCCCTGCAATACAGGAATCTCGACTGAAGCATCCATGACAGATGGCCATCCAACCTTTGGATAGAAACCTGAAGTGAGACCTGAGGGAGGTTCCTGTGCTCCATCTTAGCACAGATACGCCATGCATCTTAATCCCTTCTTACACTACTCAGTCAAGGGCCAATGGATTCATATGGCTCAGATCCTCCACCAACAGTAGGTGGAGCCAGAGCCAATAGAAGACATAGCCAGCCCCTGACTGGTTGGCTGAGGACAGACTGAGGTTGGTGGGCCATTTCCCCAAACAGACCAGCCTTCACTGTATCTCCCCATGACAACGCTTTGCTTAACTGCTGGTTGTAGTCTGGTATACCACAATGGCAGCAGTGGGGAGAGGGAGAGATGGGGAGGAAGGAAGAACGGGCGACTTGCAAATGTTTGTCTCCCAACCCAATCGTTACTGCATATTGCCATAAACTTTGGCATAATTTATTTTTATTTGACCCATGAAAAGCTTTGGAGAATGCTTTCCTCATAAATGGCTCGTAAAGTCTGACAGGAACTAGGCCTCCCACGGCTTTTTGTGACCAATATATAAACATGAAACCAACTCATTCAAGCCTCCTTCCCCAACTCCTTTAATGCACGCTTTATGAAAGGAGGAAATGCCTGTGCCTCCCTGAGGAAGGAAGGCAGTTTCTGGGCCTAGCCCTGTGTGGACCTGTGTGTGTGTGTTGCTTTCTGATGAAAGCTTTCTCAGTAAACCTCTGCTTTCATGACAAATCCCTTTCACGTAGCCTGGATTTGTCTCCTGGATTTGCCGCATCCACAACTTACATTTAAAACACTATGATACCACTTTAAACAGTCATGGTTTACCTCAAAGGATCCTGGGAACTGTAGTTTGTTGAGGTGCTGAGAGTTGTTAAAAAGGTAAAGGACCCCTGACAGTTAAGTCCAGTCATGAACGACTCTGGGGTTGCGGCACTCATCTCTCTTTACTGAACGAGGGAGCAGACGTTTGTCCACAGACAGTTTTTCCAGATCATGTGGCCAGCTTGACTAAGCCGCTTCTGGTGAAACCAGAGCAGCACATGGAAACATCGTTTACCTTCCCGCTGGAGCAGTACCTATTTATCTACTTGCACATTGACGTGCTTTCGAACTGCTAGGTTGGCAGGAGCTGGGACCGAGCAACGGGAGCTCACCCCATCGCGGGGATTCAAACCGCCGACCTTCCGTTCAGCAAGCCCTAGGCTCAGTGGTTTAGACCACAGTGCCACCCGCGTCCCTGAGAGTTGTTAGGAGACCCCTATTCCCCTCAAAAATTGACAGTTACTAGTGGCTTAACAGTCAATCCCTCTTCGCAGGGAACTCACAGAACTGATAGGGGTCTCCTATCAACTCTCAACACCCCTCACAAGCTACAGTTTGCAGGATTCGGGGGTCTGCTAGTTTAAAGTGGTATAATACTACTTTGAATGTATAGTATAGTTTGGGCCCTAACAACAGGGGTGTAGCATGGGTTGCCAGTGCCCGGGACTGCACAGAGGGGATGGGTGAGAGAAAGGGAAACATACGGAGTATACATGTGCATTCAGCAGCCTAAGGTGCCTGTGTTACCCAGAAGATCGCAACTGCAGAGATAAGAAAAGAAGAGTTGTTCCGTTGTCTGGAGAGGTCACTTCCTCGTTCGCATGGAGAAGCCATTGAGCACGTACCTGTATTCAGGCAGCACCGGGTGTTGAAATTTTGTGTCTGTAACAAATTTTGCTTCAGGGCAACTTCCCCTGTGCTCCCCTCCATTATACGCCACTTCCTAATACACTGTTTCTTTACAATTCCACCTTTCTCAAAAAATGTGCTTCGCATGAAACAGACAGTTGCTTTGACATCCTTGAACAAAGGCAGAGTATGGAGTATGGAGAAGAAGAACTTTTGCATTCTCAGATGCAAACAGACAAACATGGTTATTTTATCCAAGGGACAGCTCAGTTGGTAGAGCATGAGACAATCTCAGGGTCATGGGTTTGGGCCCTGCATTAGGCAAAAGATTCCTGCATTGCAAGGGTTGGACTTGTGGTCCCTTCTGACTTTACTAAGTTTCTAAGGATTGCTCATTGTCACACTGAGCGTCAATAGCTGCCGGAGCTGTCATCAGCTGCCCAGTGTGGTCAGCCACTGAACTACAAGTGACTCCTGCCCATATCTAAGCCCTGGCACTTGTCTCCTGCCTATATCCAAGCCCTGACAGCACAGGAGAAGCTTCTAGTATGGTCAGCAAGTCTCAAGCAACAGTATTAAGTTGGAGAACATGCTGGAGATTGGTGGCTCTGCTCAGCTGTGTCCCAAGCACAAGGGATCCTTCAGACTATAGTTCTGAGGGTGCCTGGCATACATTCTAAGGATTTGAGCACCCTGGGAAAATCTTGCTTCCCATGGTCCCCCATACAAGGAATGCTGCCATTACCAGAGAGGGAGGGAGGTACAGCTTTCTGGAGAAATGATTTCCCCACTTCTTTTTATTTCAGTCCTGGAGGTTCTGCTGAATATGATTAGAAGGGACCAGATGGTTAAAGGTATACAGGTCGGAATTAAACATTATAAATTGAGAGCATTTGCAGATGACTTAGTATTGATGTTACAGGAGCCAGAATCTAGTACAAAAAGGGTTTTAGAACTGATTCAAGAATTTGGTCAAGTGGCAGGATTTAAATTGAACAAGTCAAAAACCAAGGTTCTAGAGAAAAATTTAACACCGTTTGAAAGAGAGAGGTTTCAGAATGAGACAGGTTTAACAGTGGTTAAGAAAGTTAAATACCTGGGGATTAACATGACAGCAAAAAATGGGAATTTATTTAAAGATAATTATGAAAAATGTTGGTCAGAAGTGAAAAAGATTTAGAAATTTGGTCAAATTTGAAGCTTTCACTGCTAGGCCGTATTGCTGCGATAAAGATGAATGTATTGCCTAGAATGTTGTTTTTGTTTCAAACTTTGCAGATCGTGGACAAAATGGATTGTTTCAAGAGGTGGCAGAAAGATATTTCTAAATTTGTCTGGCAGGGCAAGAAACCCAGAATAAAATTTAAAATACTAACGGATGCAAAGGAAAGAGGTGGATTTGCCCTGCCAGACCTTAAACTGTACTATGAATCAGCAGCCTTTTGCTGGTTGAAAGAATGGCTACTTCTTGAAAACACTGACATTTTGGATCTAGAAGGTTTTAATAATGTATTTGGATGGCATGCATATTTATGGTATGATAAGGTCAAAGCACATAAAGCATTTAAAAACCACATTGTCAGGAAAGCGCTGTTTAATGTTTGGATAAGATATAAGGATTTGCTAGAAAATAAAACCCCAAGGTGGCTGTCACCAATGGAAGCGAAAGCCTTGAAAAGGTCAATATGGAGGTCAAATGGCCGAAATATTGGGAAATTTTGGAACAAGACGGAGATAGACTGAAAGTGCAGAGTTTTGAAAAACTAAAAACAAAGTGCGAGACTGGCTTCATTATTATCAAATAATGGAGGTATTTAAATTGGACAGGAAAATTGGCTTCCAGGTGGAAAGATCCAAATTAGAAACAGAATTGTTAGAACCCAAGACTAAGAACTTGTCAAGAATGTATAACTTGCTGCTGAAATGGAATACTCAAGATGAAACGGTAAAATCGGCTATGATTAAATGGGCACAGGACGTTGGTCATAACATTATGTTTGCTGACTGGGAACAGTTATGGACCACAGGTATGAAATTTACGGCATGTAATGCCTTAAGAGAGAATATTATGAAAATGATATACAGGTGGTACATAACCCCAGTCAAGCTTACGAAAATCTATCACTTGCCCGATAACAAATGTTGGAAATGTAAAGAAATTGAAGGTACTTTTTTCACCTTTGGTGGACGTGCCCAAAGATGAACGCGTTCTGGGAAATGATATATAATGAATTAAAAAGGTATTTAAGTATACCTTCCCCAAGAAACCAGAGGCCTTTCTCCTGGGCATAGTAGGCCAAATGGTGTTAAAAAGGATAGAACTTTCTTTATGTATGCAACAACAGCAGCAAGAATACTCATCGCAAAGTATTGGAAGACACAAGAACTTCCACGCTGGAGGAATGGCAGATGAAACTTATGGACTATATGGAATTGGCGGAAATGACTGGTAGAATCCGTGACCAGGGAGAAGAGTCGATGGAGGAAGACTGGAAGAAATTCAAAGACTATCTTCATCTGGAGAAATGCTGTTGCTTCATAATGCAGCCCAAGCATTATAAGTAGGAAAAATGGTTTTTATTCCAGGCCCAATATTCAGAGAATTTCAGTGGTGTTACTAAACGGGTTTTGTGGAACATAGGGGTCTCATTGTTGCAGAGACGTACTTCCGATATTGCAACAGAAGTGAAGACAAAATAAAATGAAGGAAACAAATAAAATGATGGTAAAGAAGAAGAAGAAGAAGAAGAAGAAGAAGAAGAAGAAGAAGAAGAAGAAGAAGAAGAAGAAGAAGGTGGGGACAGAGCCATAGACAAATATGGGTAGAGGAGTGAATGTAAATTTGTGGCAGTAGGCAACTTCCTGTGTATACTCACACACTCCTCTCTGCTCTCCATCCACAAAAGCAAGAGGCATGATCAGAATCCAGCGACATATTCCAGCTAGGCAGAATCACTCAAGAAGGGCAAGAGGTAGGACTGCAGTATGGTCTGAGCAAAGAGGATGTGACAGAGGATGGGGTGGCCTGGGAAGAGTCTAAGGGACCACAGAGAGAGCCCTGGGGGTCCATATTTGGCCCACAGGCCCGAGGTTCCTCAGCTCTCATTTAAAGCATAGACGGCATGTGAGTTAACAGCAAAGTTTTGACAGGGAACGATTCTTGTTAG